ATATTTAATTTAATAATAACTATACAGATTTAGCGAAATTAAAAGTTTCTGCAAAGAAAGCGACTTTAAATATTTTAATCTGATGAATATAACTTTCATATTAGCAATGAGAATTTAATTTTAAATGCCTTCAACTTGAATATAACTTATAATTTTAAATACCTTTACCCTAAGTATAGTATACCTTTTGTACTAGTAAAGGAATTCTGAACTTTTGTATTATTGTGGCGTGTTTGATTGTTATAACATAAATAACATAATTGATGTAACAGAAATAATTTGTTATTAGAATTGAAAAAAATTCTTATCAGTTATATTGTAACTTACCGACTATTGTAGTGTGTTTGATTGTGATAATATAAGTAACATGTTGACGTAACAGAAATAATTTGTTATTAGATGTATGGTTTGATTAAATTACAAAGTTAAAGTAATTTTGGGCTTATTCTACTTACGCTTCCGCAACTAAGTTAAGGGCCTTTAATGCCCATGCATCATTGGGTTTAATTTTTAATAAATTATTCAAGTCATCAGTTGATTCATTGTACTTTTTCATTAATAATTAATTACTCCTCTATATCTTAGTGCGAGTTCATTTTTGGATCATTTTTAAGCAATTTAGTTAAATTTTCAAGTGCTTTATCATATTCGCCTATAATAAATTTATCAAGAATTTCTTCATACTCTTTGTCACAGAAATCTTTATTATTCTTTACTATTAATAGAAATAGATAAAATTAATATTAAATAAATATTAAAAACGATTATCATTATAAATTATTTAACTTTCCAGAATATTCAAACTTACTATCCCAAAAATTTACTTCTACGGATCCTCTTTCCGATCTAAATCCAATACAAGGATACAGATTTCCTTCCAAACCATTGGGTAGATAGCATGTAATTCCTTGAAATACGATGCAAATGCTAAATTCATATTTAGATTTTGGAATGTTGAATTTAATTAATAACTAATAAATGCCTAAGTTTACTCCATTTTTGGTATAAACTACTAACTTTTTTTTTTTGAAATTTAAATAACATCCAATAGTATCACCAGTAGTGTATGATGGCCCATATGGCTCGCCACTTCCGGAACATTACGAATATCCATCATCTCCATGGTAACCCCGAGAGTTATTTTTTGCTCTAAATATTTCATAAAAAACTATTGACATGTTACTATAAAACTATGAAAAAATAATGATAATAAATTTTTTATTACCAGGATATCTAAAACATCGGGTTTTTTTTTATTTTGATCAATTGGCTTTGTGCAAAATCCGATTCCACTCATTCTTTTAAAAAGAGTTTAAAATAAATTATGATAAATAATTCTAATACAATTAACTTCCTCTCAGCGCATTTAACAAAATTATGTTTAGAGAGATGAATTTAGCCAGAAATGACCGTGTTTTAAAGAGATAAAACTATAACCTGCACTTAAAGTTGGCTATATAAAATAAATTTATTATTAATCTTACCTATTTTGTCCACCATCTATAATTCTAACTTCTAAATAAAAAAATTGACTCATTAAAGGAATCGGATCATTTCCCGGAATTTTAACCACACCTTTATAAGGGTCCTTTTATTCAAAATTTTATACTATATTAGTAAGTTATGCAACCTTTAATACTTTTCAACAAATATTATTATTATTTTTTATTAAAATACAGGACAAATTTATTCAGTATAGATAAAAAATAACGATTAGACCTCTGAAAAATAAATGTTCATCTCACTTATATATTTGACTTTAAGTTCACTTATACTTAAAAGCGATGATTCAAAGTCTGATGCGGTCTGTAATTTATTTATTAGATTAAATTTTTATTGGATTGTAAGAAATCCTTCTCTTGATTACTGTTTCAAAAAATTTTATGTACGTATACTTTTAATATGTCTAAATTTGTTTATTATGGGTATCTGTGCCAAATGTGTGCGAATTTTAAAAGCGACAGGATTTGTATTACAATTATTATTTAATGAACGAAATCGAAATGCGATGTTGAAGGCATTATATATTTCGAATTTTCATCTTTGAAAGAAATGAATTACGTAATATGTAACGTATTTATTTGTTTTCCTTTAATACAACGGATAACCATTCGCTTATTTCTATTTAAAAAATGTACCATGATGAATTTTTCATCTTCATACTGTATTGAGCGAAAAAGGTTCGTAAATTTGATCCTTTAATTTCAATTTTTTGTTGTAAAAAACTTCACGTATAAAATAATTCTATTTTTCAGGTTCTGTATTGACAAAAGTGAAAGTTTACATACACACAAATTATATGTAAAATTTATTATTCATTTTTTTTAATAAAGTACCATTAGCGAAAAATATTTATCAGGAAAAGGTAATTAAAATTCATATAGCACAAAGTTTAAAATATTTGTAATTGAAAACCATATTAAGTCAAAGGCATTAAAGTTCACTATATAAAGATAAAAGGTATATTCGGGTTTTCAATAATCAAGGAAGTTCAGTAAGGTCAGTAAGGTCACTAACCTGGGAACCCCCCCATCCCACCATTTTGCTTCGCTCTCTTCTTTTGACTTTTCTTGGTGTAACTTGCTTTGGTAGCTTTGGTTCTGACACTTCAACAGTTTCATCATCTTCTTGCATTTCTTCACTAGAACGTTTTTTTGTCATTCTCAAATCAAGCTCTAAAACATATTGGGTGATCTTATTAGACCACCCTTGAGCCCTTTGAGAGTCTTCCCCTTTGGCTGTTATATATCTTTGTATAGAGAAGCTCTTGAAAACGTCCGGTGGGACAACAAAATACATATTTATGTTGGCAGTTTTTACCCATGGAAGTGACCGGTTAAGGTCATTGAGCCCTTTGACCTATATAAACAACCTGAGTTAATTATAAATTTGATTATTGGGTGAGTGAAAAGTTCCTGAATAGCGGCCTTTTTTTTACTATCTCTTTAATATTAAAAGTTTTTATAAATACTGTATATATATACTATGAATAGTATATAAATTAGCCAAGGTTTATAGATTATAAAAAATTTTCAATATAGCAGAGATAGTAAAAAGGTCCCTGTTCAGGAACTTTTCACCCCGGAATTTACATTTTCTTACCTTAATCCCATGATTTTCCGAAACTGTTATTTGAAATAAATTCAAATCATTATTATCAACACTGAAAGAATCTATTGTTGCAAATGTTTTTGATATGGGCTTATTATAATGCCCTTTACTTGCTTCATTCAGTGTAGTAAAATAATTGCACTCTAATTTTTTGAGTTGCTTTTCCATAATTATTGAATTGCCATTGTTCAGGCATCGCACTTTAAATGTGCCTCCCCTCTGTAGTTCTAAGTGGGCAAAATCTTCGAATAAATTTCCACGAAATCCACTGACCTTAGGAAATCCATCACAGCACATAACAAAGTCTCGAACACTTCTTTTAATTTTGTGCTCATAATCTCTTATGATTTTGTCATGTACCTCACGAGAGGCAAAGCGGTAAGTTGCACTAGTAAATGTATTGTCTATATCAAGGTACACAAGCTTACCACTAATTGCATCTCCAGGCATACCTGACTTGTTAATGGAGTTTAGACATTTTTTGTAGTCAACCTTAGCAACTAATTGCTCATAGTCTGCTTGGTATGACTCATCATCCCACTTGGTAAGAACTGACCTAGGTATAGGTCCCCACCTATCTAATAATGTTCTAAATAATTGGCGTGTAAATATGGAGCCTTTATCATTTTTTTGGCCCTTATAAAAGGCAGTCCATAAATCTCCTCAAGTGACCAGACAGGCATAAAGTATTTAGTAAAGCCTGGCCACTTTATTGCCTCATCATATCTTCCTGATTTTGGTGATGTTATGAGCAGCATATATGCCTCATATAAAAATCTTAAGGGTTGTGCATATATGATCAGAAAGTTGTTGGGATTATTTAATATTACATCAAATTGATAAATATTACCTTTTTTTACACTACCATCTGGCGAGAATTGGTAGCAAATATTCTCTTCACAATGCCAGACAATTGTAGACTTAGAGTACTTATGGTGAATGTAAAAAAGGAGATAAAAACCAAAATAAGATTTTCCAATCCCAGGTGTTCCAGTAATTGCACAACCACTCCTTGCCGGGCCACCTTCTTTTTGAGTTTCAATTAACTTAATTAATTGAAGGTAGCACTTTCTTATAAAAAGGGTTGACCCATAATTATGCCGCCCAAGAAAGAATGCATTATCAGGTAAACATAGCATTCCTCCGAAATTATCCATTAATTCTGATGATAATTTCAAATCTATATACAGTATATTCCATCACCATATAAGCTACTATCTACATCGGTAATAACACCTTTGTTTAAATGAACTTGATTATTCTTAATAGTAGAATAGAATTTCAAGTCATTTAATTCGTCATTGTCTATACATTGTGGAATGGGAAATACTATTTTTGCATCAAAAAGTTTGTTCCAAAACTTAATGATGCTAGGTTCAGCCGCAGGAATATTTTCTAGAAAAAAATATTTTTATATTTGTTTAGTATGTGTTATAATGATTTTCTGATGTTCGTTGTATAATACCCAGGGTACTATAGAACAGAAGGAACCATGAATGTTACACAATTAATCCTTCACTCGGTGTGCAACATATAAAAAAATTAGTTTACAATATCAAATCATTCCGCTACTACATGTTATAATTATAATCCCACACCATTTTTATTATAATAAAATGGTGTGGAATTATAATCATAACATGTACTAGCGGAATGATTTGGCATTGTAACCCAATTTTTTTATATGTTGCACACCGGGTGAAGGATCAGTTGTATAACATCAACAGTTCCTCCTGTTGTACCATAGTTATTGACATATGATAAAATATAATATTTCAGATTTTCTAACTTACCATGTATAGTCTCGCTTAGGTTTCGTAATACTGACATTTGAGCCATCTGATCAATTAAACTTGACTCATGATTATTTCCAATATCGTCGGGTGATGCTATGATGATATGAATATGTTCCTCTCGAGGTTCATTAAAGTATTTACATATTCGTCTAGTTGGCAATAATATACAGTATCATGATCATGGAAAGTAAGGCCATTTATCATATTTTCATCCTCATCCGGTATTTCTACTTTCCAAAGTTTTAATTTGTCCGCGTCAATACCAGAAAATTCATTTTTTTCTTTGTTATAATTGCCTCTTTTAAATGTCCAATAAGTTTATTTTTATCTATGTCAATGGGAAAAGCGTTAATAAATGAATTCCCTTTGACAAGACAAGTCAACGTAATAGTAGATGGTGCGAGATTTTCTTTCTATAATATGCAATAATCAATAATTGTAATTAGCATATAACTATATGAGCTCAAATGTTGTATATATTAGGTATATGCAAAAAATTTACTTACATCTTTACGGTTTTTGATAAGCTTTTTCCAATACCCCTTTAAACCGTTCCCAACACGTTCTGACTCAACCTATTATAAGAAAAAGATATTAGTATGAATTATTCTTTCAAACTCAGCTAATGTTATTTTCTTTTATAAAAATAAAAAACTTACTTTTTCCTTCAGAGTAACAAAGGTATTTGTGTCCAAGAAATTTTTTGCTGCTTTTAGAAAGGTACCTGCCCATAAATTATCAAGATCGTGCCAACTGCTTAACAAAGGTGATAAAGGTGATAACGTAATAATTTCATCATAACAACTTTCTAAAAAATTTCTATATGAATAGCTATTATGTTTCTTCTCTAAGAAGTAACAGTTGAAGAAAATTTAAGTTTAGAAGATATATCCATGATATATAGATCCGCAAATGCTATAAGTGAAAAGAAAGAAAGAAAAAGGAGAGATAAGGAAGAAAAAAGAAAATTTCAAAAAATAAAAGTGCGTGTGTATAAAAAAAATTGTTCGCGTTGAAATCAAGTTTACAACGCGTTAGAACGTTGTTTAATTATAGGAGAATAGCCAATCAGAAATTAACCAACACACATGATTTTCTGCAGGATAGAAACTCCGCAAGCACATGAGTAGCTATGGCTTGTTCGGCTAGCACGTCCCAAATCTGTGACAGGTTATGTCGATCACCGAATCGAAAAAGCATTAAGTGCATATTTAATTTACTTTATATTCGATATTTAAGTATACTCATATACCTAAAATTTCGTGCTGGAAACTTTTGCTTAGAAGTCAAACTACGGTTATC